GTCCCCAGCAAGTGGCTGTCATGAGACACCACCCAAGTTTACAGCTTTGCAAATGGGTTTTGTCCTCCCAGAGTGAGATACAGGGTGCACTTTCTGTCTTGGGCTTGAAGACCTGAGGGCTGACTAGACCTTGAAGGAGAAGTAGAGTACATACTGTTCCAAGACCACATCCTCAGCAATCCCTGAGGACACAGCTTGTAGTCATGTGGTTAGAAAAATCTTGCTTTTTCTGGCATATTGTTAATATTGAGGGGGGACCAAGGGAAGTGGGCAAACAGAAAGGGTGACTTTTGCCCTTTGCTGTGTATTTTTACATCATTTGCATTTTAAAAATAATTCTATTATTCTAATTTTTTAAAAAAGGAAAAGTGAACATTCTTTCATCTAAATAACACATGATTACCTCAATTCTCCTAGTTGAGGTTTATGGGAAAACAATCAGTTTCCATATTCTGTAAAGGAACCCACCATCTATACAAAGACAGGATGAAGATTTCTCCTTGGTATGCTTTTCCAAAGTAAATGGTTATTTTAGCACAAGTTACCAGATGCTTTGAAAGAATCAGGGGTAACAGCACCTGAATCCTTGGGGAGACCTACAGCTGCTGGTAATTGTGTATGGCTCAATTTTATGACCATTCTTCTATCTGCCTTATTTAGGAGGCTAGATATTAATGAAGAGGAGGCAGAGACGAGCAGCAGGAGATCTCGTGTGCCGACACAAATCCTAGAGAGGATTTCTACATGGAGACTCGCAAAGGGAGATTCTTGACATTGTGTTTGTGTAGGTCACATGTCACATCCTCTTTTACCAAGCCCAGGAAGGAAAAAAATGAATTTTTGGCTGGCATTTGTTAACCTTTAATGGTACAAATTGTTGAACCATATGATAGAGCATTCTGAACAGCAAACGAGGAGAAAATAGCAGCTTGTTAAATTCAATAGTAGAAGGACACTTTAAGATCACATCGATCTTGAGGGCTCGGGTACTTAAAATACGAAGTGACATCCCCAAAGGAGATATTGAATAAAATGAATAGAAAAATGTTGGTGACATATTGATGAAGCCTCATGGGCAGGCTGTCTTCTACTTGTCCCTCTGGATCCACTCTCTGCCCTTCTTCAACATACTCTGCTCATTTTGAGGAGTGGGGCTCCCTGGCCCTCTGGCTTCCACATGGGGCTTACGGAAAGCCTCAGCAGGGGACCACAGGGAAGGAAGGGAGAATTGGAGCATTTACTCCCTACCGAGGAGTTGCCCAGTGCTGGTTGTATCTATCTAATGCAGTCTCGGCTCCTGCCAGGGACCTCTCCACACGCACAACCCTGTGTCTGTCTCCAGGTCTAGTAATTGTCCCTCTCCTTGCCGCTTCAGGCCTGGGGTGGTAAAAGCTCCCCAGTGTTACTGCTCCTGGAGTGCGGCTGTTCCTGGTGGCTTCCCTGCATCCTGCCCATCCTTTGTAAAGGTTCCCCTTATTCAATTCTCCTCAAGTCACTCAATTTGAGCATGCCATGCTTTTCTTGCTAAGTCTCAGACATACCATCAAAGAAAGCTCTTAACCAGGGTTCTGGTGTTCTGAAAGAAAGTTCTAGTGGACATCTCTCATTATTTTTGCACCTTCTTTCACCCCTGTCCCCCATCTGCAGCACCACCCAGCATCTGAGCTGAATGTGTGGATTTCCCACCTCAAGTGAATATGTATGTATGTATGTATGAATTTATTGGTGGGTGGGGACAGGATTTCACTCTGTTGCCCAGGCTGGAGTGCAGTGGCACCATCACAGCTCACTGCAGCCTCAACATCCTGGGCTCAAGTGGTCCTCCTGCTTCAACCTCCCCAGTAGCTGGGACCACAGGTGCACACCACCATGCATGAGTAAGTTTTTTTAATTATTATTCTTTCTACAGAAATGGGGGTCTCACTTTGTTGCCCAGGCTGGTGTTGAATTCCTGGCCTCAAGTGATCACCTTGCTTCGGTCCCCCAAAGTGCTGGGATTACAGGTGTGAACCACCATGTCCATGCCTAGCCACCTGATGAGTCTTGATGGGGGGCAGAGACCAACAACTCCACAGAAGCCAGATGCTTGCTTTCCCAGCCTCTCTTGCAGCTAGGGCTCAGGCATGTGATTCAGGCTCAGTCAATCAGATGACACTAACTCTTGGCATGACATGGGGTAAGGAGGGGCTGCAGGGAATCCATTCGGGCTGGGGTGGCAGCTGCACTGGGAGTGACATCAGTTTCCAGAGGGAGAAGCAGAATCTGGCATCAGGCTTGGGGTGTGGGAGGTGCAACCAGAGTCTGCACCCAGCAGCAGTGGCAGAATGGGTTCTCTGTGGAGAGTCTGTGTACTCCTTCCTCTGGGGCCACCAACATCTGCCTCTATGAACCTCTCAGAGTCTGTGAGCAACTCAATAGCCTTGAATTTTTTTCCCTTCCTGTTTGAATGAGCCAGGGTTGTTTCACTGCTTGAAACTAAGAGCCATGCCTGATATGAACACCAATCAACATCTTTTTGACCCAATGATTCTGGCATCCTAAAATACTCATCTCATTTTAAGTTAAAAATAAATCCATGTTTGAGCATCTACTGTTTCAGTTACTGTGCTAGGTGTTACAAAGCTAAGTAAGAGTGATAAGTAAATCACTATCATCACCATGATAAATAGAGGATGGAAACTTGCTTTTTGGAATACAGATACAAAATGATTAATTCTGCCTGAAAGTGTTTTGGAACATTTCAGAGAGGTAGTGAGCTGGGCCAAGAGAAGAGCATAGGCAAGGAATGGTGGTGTGAAGTTGCCTGGAGTGTCCTGAGAAGAAAGATGGGCTCAGAAGGACTAGGGTAGGGCAGAGAAGGGGGTCACTGCAAGTGAGGCTGGGAAAGTGAGGCTGGGAAAGTGAGCCAAGGCTCAAATACAAACTGTCTGAACTTCATTTTCTGTGCAAGCAGGAGAAGCCACTGACATGGGTTTGGAAGATGGATTGAAGGGGGAGAAAAATGGAAGCAAGAAACTCTCTCACAAGAGGCTATAAACACAGCCAAGGTCATGAGATTGAAAGGGAAGGCAGATATTTGAAAAATATTTAAAGAGATGTGAGGGATAGGACAGGCATAGTGGCTCATGCCTGTAGTCCCAGCACTTTGGGAGGCCGAGGTGGGCAGATCACGAGGTCAGGAGATCAAGACCATCCTGGCTAACACAGTGAAACCCCATCTCTACTAACAATACAAAAAATTAGCCGGGTGTGGTGGCATGCCCCTGTAGTCCCAGCTACTCAGGAGGCTGAGGCAGGAGAATCGCTTGAATCTGGGAAGTGGAGGTTGCAGTGAGTCGAGATCGTGCCACTGTACCCTAGCCTAGGCAACAGAGCAAGCCTCTGTCTCAAAAACAAACAAACAAACAAAAAAACCAAAAAAAACCAAAAAAAAAGAAAGAGAGAGAGATGTGCGGGGTTGCTGCTCTGCTGGTTGTGGAGAGTCAAGGAGGATTCAAAGATGGTCCTGAAGTCCCAGCTGGAAGAAGTAGGTGACAGCAATGTTTTTAATATTGGCAATTCATCACATAGCACAGGTTTGGAAAAATGGCATTGGCTTTAGGCATGCCCAGATCTTTCCTCATTTTAGGCATTTGCTAATACATGCATTTTCTAAGCTGATGCCTTGTGTTTAATCAGTGTTCCATTCAGGAGAAGGAGGTTGTTTCAAACCTGGTTGCTATCATTTGACTTCCTTGCTATTCACGGGGCTATTTTATTTGCTACTGATATACCACAGCCTTAAATTGCAAGTTAATCCAGGATGTTCCTAGGTTGGCAGTTAGGAATATATAATTCTTTGGAAGCGCTAAAAGTCAGCTCTCTAAATTCTCTCCATATGAACCTTCTCTCCACCTTAGGATGGATCCACTTATTTAGTCCACTGCCAGTACCTCACCAAAACCTGGGCGGTCACTGGATTCCAGGAACAACAGTAGCCTGGAGTGCGGCTGTTCCTGGTGGCTTCCCTGTATCCTGCCCATCCTTTGTAATGGGCAGGATGTTCTGTTCTGTCTGCTGTTGACTATCTCTATTCTGTTCCTGACCCTGATTTCTCCTGCCAAGCTCAATTTTGAGAGCTGACAACAGCAAGCCATGGCTTCCCAAAACATTATTTTTAGGTCAACTAATAAATTTCAAGAACATATTTGACTCTGCTTCCTGTGGTACTAAGCCTACTTCTTGATACAAGCATTTGCCTTTGTTGTAAATAGTAAAGTTCTTCCAGTTGGCTTTTTGTTAAGAAGTGTGTGGATGTGGCGTCTGATGACATCTTTAGCTTGGATTCTAAAAAGGCACTACCACTGTGCGTTTGACTAAAAGAAACACATTTTACCCGTGAAAGCCTTCCATTTACAAATGCTCAGCTAGCACACAAAGCTAAGGCCATGCAGTAAGTACTGTCCTACAATGTTACTCACTTCTGAAAGCACAACATGATGACTGGTATAGCTTTGGAGATGTTTTCTGGAAACCAAATAAAGGAACAGCTTTGTTATTCCACACCTACAAAGTCAGAAGATGCACAGTCTTTTATTCATGTTTGAACAAGTTTCCTTCTTGAACAATCATCTATAAAGTGATGTGATTCTCTACTAGATCAGGAGCTCTTTGAGGACGGAATCAGGTTCTAATCCATATTCTAAATCTACACCACCTGCACAATGCATGTTGCATGGTTAGGGTTAAATAAGAGTTGGTTGAATTAATCAGTAATACACAGCAAGATAATTCACAAAGAGAGGGGAGTAATCTCCCCAGCCTCAATCACTGGGCAAGTGGAATCGCTTGGGCACTGCTAGTGCCTGAGACAGAGCTGGTGACAATTTCATGTAATGTGAATATTTTACATGAACAGGGAAACTCACTGATAAGCAGTGTAGTCATCAAGACAACACTGTCTTGGAGGTTTTTCTGAAGTTATAACCATGCTACAGAAGCAATAAATTATGAAGGCTGAGCATGTAATAAAATTTAATGTTGTCATAAATTTTATAACAAAGTTAATCTGACACATTTAATGACACGCATAATCATTAGTATGCAGCACTGTAATCAGACATTGATAATAAGCAGTTCACATCAGTGACTGTGAGAGTCTTTACTTGTGTTCAGCCAAACCAACTGCTTGGTATTTTTTTCTCCCTTCTGAGTTGTTAGTTTTCCATACCTACAATAATTATCAGTGGTGATGGGCTTCTCTGACCATGTGAATAATTTAATTCTCAATGCACAGATACAGAAACCCTTGCTGAAGACGGTGTCAAGCAGAGAAGGCTCTCTCTACTCCTCCCACCTGAAACACCTCTGCAGAAGCATATGGGAGCTCTGCCTACAGCCCTTGGACCTAACCACTTCAGTGTGTTCCAGTGAGTGTCTGGACTTTGGCCTGAAAGGTTTTTCCTAAACTAAAGAAAATTTCTCTGACCTAAAGGCCTTAACCTCCACCCCAGAAGCTCTCACCAAGGACTATAGGGAACTGGTGGGGAAAATCCTCATCCCTTACCCCTCAAGGCACAGGGCAGCAATGCTGAGGCTTGTGTGCCACACTTGCTCCCAGAGGTCCTCAGTGGGCTGCCTGCGGTGGTGAATGACTTCCTAACATGCTCCTTGACAGCCTTCCTTTCCTTGCCTCGCTTCTCCACTCTCCTACCAGCACTGCAGGAGTCATATCCCAAATATACCAGTGGCACTTGAATCCTGGTCTCCAGGTCTGTTTCTGGAAAAACCCAAGTAAGACATTGCCCCAGTAATGGGGCTAGATGTCTGAGGCTTCCTCGAGCATCTACCTTGAAGGCTCTTACTGCTCTACACACATGCACATACACACACGAGTGTGCAACCAGTTACATCCAAGCTCCCCGAATACCAGCCTGTTGAAGATAGCAGAGAGCTGCACTATAAGCCAAGGCTGCTCCCAAGAGCCGCTCCATCACTGAATTGGGTCCCCCGCAAGATGAAGGAATGTAATTATTCGAAGGATGGAGAATGTTCTCTGAATCACTGACAAGTTGGAAGGGGTGGAGGGCAAGAGTCCACCTGGGTCAAGTGGAGAGATGGAAAGAGTGAGAGAACCTGGACTGATAATGCCATTGCTCAGAAAAGGCTGCTCCAGATGCATATCTACAGCAATTGTACAGCCCAAACATCTCTGCGCAATAGGTCTCTGGTAGTCTTGATGTCTAGACCAACAATTCCCACTTCATTCTTCTCAGGGAAGGAGCAAGGAGAATCCAGAGACTCTCATTCTGCTGTTACATTAAAAGAGTTAGGCACAACAGCCTTGGCACAGTCACAAGAGCACATTCACACTAAGGTGTAAATGACTCACAGCTCCTTTTCTATTTTTAGGTTGGGAAGTTGCTTTAGAACATAAGGGGGAACTAAAGAATATTCCTGTTACATACAAGGCAGAGAAAAGGGAAACTAGTGGTGACAAGACAAATCATCTCTTTGACATTTGGCAGGCTCTACTTATTACAGCTCTGGGGGTGAGGTGGGAACAAAAAGATGCTGTGTAAAGAAGTTTATGCCATCCCTGCTGTAGTGGGGTGCAGTTTAGAGGGGTCACTGATCAAGCAGAGACCCAGAGAGTGTTTTGTTCCAAGCCAGAAACAGAAATGTATAAAACACAGCCTTTCCAGCATCAGAAATGAGTAGTGGTAGTAGAGACCTACCCAAAACAGGAAAGAGGACCACGTGAGGTAGAGTGCCAGGACCCTACATCCCAGTGCCGCTGCTCATGACTGTAATCTTGAGTAGGTCCCTTAAAGTCTCTGGACCTCAGTTTTGCCATCTGTGAAATAGGGATAATATTATCCAGCATAAAACTGGTTATGAGGCTCATGTAGGGCCTGCCTGGGATGATGTGTTACTAATGGTTAAGAACACAACTTCTGGGGTCTGACTGAACAGGCTGAAATCCATGCTCAATACGTTCTAGCAGAGCCCTGGGTGATCTATTTAACTTTTCTCACCTGTAAGCTGAGACAAAAGTACTCACTTTATAAGATTATTTCAATAATTAGTTGAAATAATGCATGCAGAGAATTAAGCATGGTACTTTTTATTAAACTAGCTATTAAAATGTGTAAAACATAAAGTATAGTATGGATTTTAGGACCATGCAAAGACTCTCTGCTGGCTGCAATAGTTCGGGGCCCCTTCAGATGGCTAAAGGCAGAATTTGTATATATAAATATGGTGTGCTTATCTCTGCTCTGGATACTGAGGGCTTACCCTGTTATTAAACTTGTTTAGTAAATGTTGAACTGTCATGAGGCCTAACATTTAGTTCTAGTTATTAGATAAAACATTTGCTTTGAATGGTATTTGAATTGCCAGGTTCTAGATTATTCTGGTTGACAAACTCTTCGTATTTTATAAAGAGGCTAAAATTGGTATGCTATCGCAGAACAGATGTGCCATTTTCAAGGTATATTAAACCATGATTCACTGGAACATTGGTCCTACTGGCAACAAATTCAGAGCAGGCTGGACTTTATTTGGTGAAGAAACATTGAGTAGAAGAGAAAGGACATTATTTTATGTATTTTCGTTTTCAAATTACTGTAGCTTAAACCTTTTAGCCATCGTTACCCACCTTCGGTCTGCTAAATAAATGATTCAGTACATTTCTAATTTACAGAATTTTTTAACAAAAGAAAATGTAATTTGATAGCCAAATCAACATTAAACATTATACACTTAAAAAACCACAGGCAAAGACAAAATCATGATGACACTAACTTTTGTTAAAGTATGCTTACCTATGGTTTCCCTCTGAGGCACGTTCTTTCACGCTAAGCTTCCAACATAATATGAAAATGAAGGAGATGCATTTTGCAAAGCAAAACACACCTTAGGCAAAACACACATCTCAAATTAACACTGTTACAAAGTTTTAGAATTTAGTAAGTTCATTAATTTAAAAGTTGGGATGTCTGAGTCCTTCTATCCCAAAACAAGATCTTGGAGGGACTTCCACAGCTATGTAATACCATGGTCACATGACCCTTTCTGAAATTATTAATCTGAATACACCATATGAGGATAAATTCCATCTTTTTGAAAATATTTAGGAAAATGAGCTTGGTATTTATAAAGTGAAGCTCTCTTTGGGTGGGTATCCTAAGACATGTCAAGCCAATCAGCCTGTAACTGTCAAAAAACATTGGTAGGTACAAAAGTGGGGTGCGAGAGGAGTGACTTAACTTTGTTAAGTGATGGGAAAGAAACAGTAATAGCATATCTCAATAAAATGTGATTTAGGAATATTTAAAATACTAAATCATTAAACTGACAAAGAAATATAAATCATTCAGAAATAAACTCATTAGGTCATCAAATCCTGTTAAATCTGCAATTGGGAAGAGCAAGGTGTACAATCCATACATTTAAACTCACGGGCTCACTTTGCACAATGTCAATTTACTCCTTAATATGTTATTAATATGCATTTTCCAAAAGGATGTATTAGTAAATTGTACACATCTACTTCTTGGCACCATCATATAACCTGGTACAACATAAGCATTCTTCTTATAGTTAAGGAATGTGGATGGTATGAAAATTAGAAAAATAAATGCCCTATTATGCTGTGGTCAGGTTTAAGGCATGTGAATTTTTATCTTCATACAAAATATTAAAATCTAGATATTAAAAAGCAGTGCAGTATCAGTGATGCATTACCCCTGAGTTCCCAAAATGTCACATCACAAAAATATCCTGTAATTGCTTGTAGTTTATTCCTTGGCTGTCCTCTTTTCTCTCTGCATCTTTGTAACAATTTTTTAAAAGTGGAAATATAATTGTTGGCAATGCTAACAGCTGTAGAAATGATTACAAGGTAGGAAAAGCATAACAGGAATGTCAAGAATCTGTTTCTGGCAGTAACATATATGGAACATTGTTCAGGACAAAAGAGGAGAAGGAAGGAAAAAAGGAGAGGGGTTTATCATCTCTAAGAATTTTCAAACTAAACCTCATTGGTTAATAGGAAAAAAGGATTCCATATTTAGTTAAGTCACAGATAACTACTAGCTAAAGCATGACACCACCAGCATTGGAGTCAGCAGAAGTGTGTTTTTGAAGGACAGTGTTGCAAGAGGATCTTGACAGGTTTTCAGAGCCAGGAGACAGAAAATAATTCTACCTCTGTCAATTGAAGGACCTTAGGCAAATCAGTTTACCTCTGCTAGACTACACTCCAAAATTTAGACATTCAAAAATTTGATATTAATAACCACATGAAAGTCTCGTGTTGAGGTGAATATGTATTTGTTGGTGAAAGATATGTTGGTTTTTAAACAGACAGCACTCTGCAAACGTAGGCTATTGTTGTGTTTTGCTGGTTGTCAAATTCTATACAGTTATACACATCTGCGTGGCCTCCTAATGGTATTTTTCCAACGGCTAAAGGTTTATGAATAAGACAATTTTCCTGATGGAATTAACCCGATGCTTTTCTTAAACATGTAACCTTGAGTTCACTATACAAAACAATGCTTTGATTAGAGCAATGCATATAATAAAGGTTACCCTAGTTTCTTAGACCCCAGACATCATTCACAAAAAAGAGAACTGCTTTTGAAAGGGATGTATTTGCACAGGGAAGAAAAGTTTTCTACTTCTAATTATAAATGATTTATTGGTGTAAGCAAAACGACAGCCTATCTGAGAGGCACTTCTATGAGCATCCTCACGTGTGATTTGCAAGATTGAAGACGAGGGAAAAATGCCTCGATTGTACCAATGATGAGAAAACACCAAAACTACAAAGCAGGTTTCAGAAAACCAAATTCATAACCAAGGACAATAATAAAGCAATGTGTTGACATATACTCTGCAAGTTTTCCTCCATAAATAGTTTACAGAAATTTTGTAATTTCTGTAAATGCATCCTATAATAATTTTGCATCTTGCTTTTTTTTACATTAAATATCAAGTAGATTTCTATAGGGCAATTATTTGAAAATTATCTCAAATACATGGGGAAATACACATCAAATGAAAAAATGCAGTGGGTGATAGAGATACCATGAAGAGCCTCAAATATTTCCCATCTCATTGGAGAGAAACAAACATGTTCTCATTTAGAATGAGTGGGAGTTACCAAACTGATTTAGGCCTCTATATTTAACTTCTAGTCAAAAAAGGTAGTTCCATCTAACAACAATATTATGGTGAACAAAAGAAAAAATTAACTCTCTAAATTTACAGTAGGGTCTTTTCTTCGGAAGTACCAAATCCCATCTATTACCAGCTCCACGCTTCAGGCCTAAAATGGATCTCCCTGAAGCAATGACAGAATTTTTCCCAAGTGACTAGGATATAAACACCACTTTGGTTGCACAGTGAGACATATGCTCCAAAGAAAACTGGTTCAAAAACAGGCAAGTGGGTTTCTACAGAATAAATGAGAGCCCCGTCAATGGCTTCCTCTTCAGGGCTTTGTGTCTGTACTTGCGTGGTGGCTCTTTGTTTCATCTATGGATAATGGTGCACATGGTGTTCATAATTCCTTACACTCATGAACTGCTATAAATTTGTTTTTGGTATTCCAGAGAGTCCTAACTTCAGCTTCTGGGCAATGCTGAGGAGGCACCCTATATTCTAGACTTACCTTTTGCAAGGTGTACTCTCAGCATTGTGGGCGATTTCCATGGGAGAATATTCTATTTAAAGAACTACTGTCCCAGCATAAAACAAAAAATCATTTATGAAGATGCAGGAGACTCAGAAAACTCTAGATTATGTTTGCACAAGCATAATGTCAGAGCCTCCTTTCTCCACTCCACAAGGGGGTCAGGAAAGGAGTACTCAGCTGTGAGAAAAGACATACAGAAGAATTCATGTGGTCATGACAGTGAGGACACGGCCGATCCTCCAAGGAGAATGTGTCATACACTTCATGAGCCCAAGAGTGTGCTGTAGGGTCTGAAGGGCAAGATGCTGGTTCACTGATGTAAAGAAGAGAGGGAAAAAGCTTCAACCAACTAGAAAAACAGTCCTTATGCATGTTATTTTTTATTTCAAACACAGGTATCAATATCAATTCCTTCTCTGAGAGAGTATATTTTAAAATAGGATATATTTTTAAAGGAATATTTAAAGGACACATTAAAATTTATTTTAAAAACTTTTCAAAAGAAACAAAAGGTATGAATTTTATTTAATCCTTAAGGAAATGATTATTTTCTCATCCACATAAATCATTAATTTTGCTTTTCTTTATCTCCTTTATTAATCTACATTAGAAAAATAAACTTTTCATACACTAAGAACAAGCAAACCAGTCTCAATTGACAAAATGTACCAATGCAACACAATTACTTTCACCTTTAATTTACAGGCAGCCAGATTCAAAATCCTTAAAGTTGCTTAAACTTAAACATGACAATGACAACCTAAAAGGTATAATGTTGATTGGAGCAGATATTTAATTGGAAAATTGATGATTTTCCATTTCCAATTAAATCTCTAGATAGAAATGAAAAAAATTAAAAATCATATTTAAGAAAAGCCAAATCTTGGATTGTGAGGTATCCTTTTAAGGATGTTTCAGCAGAAAAAAACAAGGACTCTCACAATTGTGTAGCTGCCTGGATTAGGTGGGTACCCTGATCAAGGAGATGGGGGATGATTTGGCTTTAGTATTCCAACAATAAAGTTTATAATGAGAATAACATGTTGCTACAAAATCCAGTCTCTTCCTCAGATGCCTTCCACAGAGGGCAGGAAGATTTGTCAGTTTTGTTTGCTGATGATGCCTGGTTCTGTCAACAAACAACACCTGTCACATGGTAGGTAGTCAATATACATTTGTTGAATAAATAGAGAAAAAAAGAAATGTACAGTATGTTTGTGAAGCCAACTGTGTGTACATTGCTATTGAAGTACACAAAGAGTCTTTGTTTTAAATTTGAGAATGAGGACTTTCAATGGAATATATCTATAAAATGAAAGAAAGACATTACTGTCTGGACTCTTGTACAGCAAGAGAAGAAAAACCACTAGCAAAGAGCCAACTCACCTGATAGACCTGGATCAAGCATGTGGCCGTGGAGAACACCCCTGGGACTCTAATTCCGGCACTCCTGCAAGCTGGGTACTTGGGCAGGACAGCAGCAGCACTCATGAACTGGGCAGCACCTGTTGGTGAGGGCTGATCACATGGATTCTCTCATCCCAGCCTTACAATCAGTCCTTTAGGTACATACTTTTTCTGACTTTGCTGATGAGGAAACTATGCACAGAGGTTATACAGCTTAACAAAGGGCCCTCACCTCATGAGTCATGAAATGGAACTTTAGCCTTTCTTTGTATCTTGTCTTAGAGCCAATACCCAAGAACCACTGTACTGTACACATTGTCTCAGAGAAACTTACTCTTCCTGGGCCTCAGTCTTTAAAAGGTGGGCAGTGGACTTAATAAGAATTAAGGATCAATGATTAGGGTTCAAGGCACTCCAAAATTCTGGTCTTTATTGAAAAGGCTACAGATGTCTCACCTTAGTAACACCCTATCATCTTGATATTCTTGGTTAATTAAATATGGGAAACCAATTTCATAGTAATTGAGGTCAGAAAAAAGTACTCATGACATTTTAGAATATAATGACAAAGCCATAGATAAATTTTAATGCAACTGTAATTACTTAAAACTGTTACAGCATGCAATGTGTTACCACAACAGCCAGAGAAACACTAATTTACTCAGCCTATTCTTCTAGACCTATAAACACTAGGATTAAATAAATATTTTCATTGAATTTATTCTACCCTTCATTGCCATTTATAGATAGTTTACTCGTCAAATATTACTTTATAATTGTTTTATGTTTCCTAACTAGCCTGTAATACTTTGGCAAGGACCTCAAACAATAGTAGACAGTAGGTATAAAATAGATGGCTACATTGAACAGATGACTAAAAGGATGACTCCTGAGTACCTATATCTTGAAATATACTTTATTGTGCCTTACTTTCAATTTGTGATTTTAAAATGTAGAAATCGCCTATTTTATGTAATAACAATAAAATCCTTCTTTGCTGAAAATATGCACAAATAAAGTTTACAAGCTTAAAAAATTAAATCACAGTAATGGTCAAGCTTTCCAATAATAAAATACATTTTCATAAGGTTTTCATTTTACAAAAACTCAAATAGCTTCATGAGTTCACAAAATAATATATTTTTCAAGATATTAGCGTATTCTTATACTGGAAGAGCAGAGAATAAAATTTACTTGGAGATCGAGCATTTGCTTCTTTAAGAAATACTTCTTTGGCCGGGCGCGGTGGCTCAAGCCCGTAATCCCAGCACTTTGGGAGGCCGAGACGGGCGGATCACGAGGTCAGGAGATCAAGACCATCCTGGCTAACACGGTGAAACCCCGTCTTTACTAAAAAATACAAAAAACTAGCCGGGCGAGGTGGCGGGCGCCTGTAGTCTCAGCTACTCGGGAAGCTGAGGCAGGAGAATGGCGGGAACCTGGGAGGCGGAGCTTGTAGTGAGTTGAGATCCGGCCACTGCACTCCAGCCTGGGCGACAGAGCAAGACTCCGTCTCAAAAAAAAAAAAAAAGAAATACTTCTTTTAGTATTTTTACTTTAATATTATGAAAGCTACATAATTACATTCAGATTCTTTAACTATTTCAGTAGTTAATTTTTAAAACTTACGATGAACAGTTTTGTTTAAAATATGGAACATTGGTAATATGAAAATCTGAATTTGTAAGAATGATTTGCATTCCTGATTTTTTTTTTTTTTTTTCTGATACAACAAATGATGAAATAACTAATGGTTCCACAGAGGATAAAATGTCTCAAATCTGTTGGTTCTGAAGGTGAAGCGAGATTTTATACTGATACCATGTATCACTGAGATGCCAGAAGGAAATGGAATTAAACTCAGATAGTTCAAATGGAGAGATTTTAATGAAGGGACAACCTACAGAGGTGTTGGCAGGGTCAGGGGGAATCAATGAGATATGCTTAGAACCCACCAACTGGCAAACCTCTCCCTAAAGATGGAGGAGGAAGGAGTGATACTGTAGTGAGAGCTTGAGCCTAAGGGAGGAGGATGGGCTGCTGAGCAGGAGGCACCATCCTGAAAGAAGAATCCTCTGCCAGATACTTTTCAGGGTCATTTCTTCACACTCTCTGCAGGGAAGCAGGGAGACAGCAGGAAGAAATATCCTAACCTCACTTTCCTCCCTCTGCCAGTGCCTTCCATTGGCCAAATCCTCCCAGAGGCCAGTTGGTGGTGATCAGCTTCCAGGGGCAACAGGAGGGAAGAGGAGGGCAGAGACTGGCTCAGGGGTGGGGGATCATGCACATTAGGGGCTCAGTTGTTCAAATACCTGTCACTGAGGCCTGATAAGGGTGACAAGACTGAGCATGCTTCTCTGACCTAATTTCTAAGAAATCTACCGGAAATAACATTTGGGGATTTTTCCATTTAATAAATTTTTTTAAAAATAGCTGCCCTCTCAGCCCCATTTCCCATGCATTTTCCTCTCTTCAAGCTGTATTTAAATTCCTTCTTTCATTTTCCTTCTGGTAACAAAGACGTCTGTGGCTCAACAGACGTTTCTCTAAGACCCCATCCTGTTAGGTCTCTGAGCTGTGGGAAGTATTTATACAATTGCCAGTGAATATAAGATCCAGGAATTTCCCTAAGATCCCTAACAAAATTGGTGATAAGTAGTCCCACATGTTAATCCAGCCACCCATGGATGACAGCACTTACTGTTTCTTTGATAAATGCCAAATACATTTGAAATAAATACCTGACATATTTAAGTGCTTTCTAATCTATTAATTTTACATATGCATGAGTCTGTTTTGTATATCTTCTGATTATAGGATAAATGTAAATAAATCCAAGGAATAATTAAACCTACCACTTTCAAGAAGCCTTCTTTGTAGAACTGGAAGAGTCTTAAATAGGCTTTTCAGGTATGCATCTCTTATTATCGCTAAACACCAACTCCGGCAAGGCAGACATCATGTGTGCGTCATCTTTACAGTAGGCACAGGCCCTAAAACAGTGACATGCACATTGCAGGCACTCCATAAATGTTTGCTGAATTGGCTAAACCTTGGTTTGTCCCCATAATCAACCACCGCAAACAGCACACAGATAATTACTTCTTGGAAAGCTTCCAGCTAGTGTTTGATGTTACCTATGTGGTTTTTCTCTCAAGAGCAGCTCTGTAGGATTACATTATTTTCTGTTTTTTTTTTTCCCTTTGACCTTAATGTCATCTACTTCAATAACAGCTTCATACAAAATTCCTACAGCACATACCACAGCAGATTCAAGGCCTTGTTTTAAAAATGGTGCCAGCATCTCTTAATTTGGAAGATATATTGTCTCTCCTGAACATGGGCTAAGAAAATGTATAATTTGGTATTAACATAAGAGCTGAAGACACTTTAAATGCACTTTTTCATTTTTATAAGATAAAAATAATTTTAAGAATCAAAATGTTATCAACAGACCTGTCCTTCATTAAAAAGTAAAACTGCATTTTCCTACATTTTATGAAAGTGTCCAATTACAAACAATTTTGAAATGTAACTTTAAAAAATGTAAACAGCAAAAATACTGTATTTAAAATAAATCTGGACAGGCAAAAAATATACATATATACCCAGAAGACAGAGATTTTGGTGAAAGTTAAGATATTTCATCTTTGAACAACTTAGAATCTTTCCTGCATTTTATAGTCTAGTTCCAGGCATTAATCTGAAATAACCTTGAAATCCTAAATCTAACACCCTTCAGAACAAAGTAGCTTTTCTCTTTTGCCTGATGAGCAAATGGACTAAATACTAGGGAATGGTACTGTCTGGGCCTTTGAACCAAGACTGAAAGAGATGAAATCCTATATGATACGTATAAACATTAGAGAATCCATTTTGATTTAATAAAAGGATGAATTTGTTCTATATCCTGTGAGAAAATGGTTCCCTTTTCCTGAAAATGTTGTCTCATTCCAACAATAGAGAGTTGGTTTTTTTTCCAGGGTGTGGTGTCGGGGGTGGACAGAGTTGCCATGAATATGGCATCTATCAAGACTGCTGTTATATTCATTTCTCAAAATGCATTGTAGTAGGAAATTCAGAACGCAATAAGAGAAAATAAATGTTTGACTTCAAAATATAAGGCCACATTTAAAGCAGCAGGTGAAGTATAGAACAGTTAACAGTACAAATTCTTTATCTGCAAACTTGCAGTTCCCTGAAGCTCTGTAACACATCACTTTTAAAAGCCTCAGAGAAGCGGTTCTATAATAATTTACCAATAATTCAACCCCTCAATAGCCTTAGCAAGTGAAACCTTATAGTCTTACATTTTAGAAATGACCCAACTTGATCCTTTTATTCTTCAGAATATCTCTCTCAAATTTTCATTTGCTTTTCATTAATTGATGAATTATGAGATGTTTTAGGTGCCTGTCCACAAAGAAATGAAAATTTCACTTTCCAGGAACCTAACAAATGAAAAGATAGAAACCAATTCCAACAGAATGTTACCAAAGAAATCTTTTAGAGTCGACTGTTAACATTATTTATTTATATTTATCTGGCTCTACTATTTGTGGTACATTTACACTTCAAAGCTAAACCTCAAATAACATCATAGTGAGTGGTTGACTTCATGTTTAGCTGAGGTCTTGAAGACTGAAAAAGACCATGACAAACGCACATCTATTGTCTTGGCTACTGTATCCGTCTTCATCACCATTCTGATGGTGTGCAATGTATTGCAGCTCACCCTTTGGGAAGGACTAAAGTAGATATCTGTTGGTTCTGCTTGCTCAGCATTCCTACCCTAATTTTCCTTTGGAGAACCCCTTTATTCTAGACCACGTGAAGTTAATGCCAAACCCCATTCCAGGGGATGCACCTGAATCCAACTTCAGTTATCTAAACAGTCCCTTCTCCACATTCAGAGAAGAGCAAGCGACTCAATCTGCCTTCATAAGGACAGACCTGGGACTTCTGCTGCAAATATTGAAGAATAAGTACTCTTTTTTCTTGCTAGGACTAAGCTGGTAGTACCTTCTAGGAGGCTATCATATGGAAACAACTTGTTTGAAAATGAAGCCACAACTAGAAAACAGATCCTGGTAACCCGATTGACGGATCCAGCCCTACCTTAAATGGCAGGACCTAACCCGAGGCTTTTTGCATCAACCAAGTAAAGTCCTTAAGCCAATTTGAGTCGGTTTTGTCACTTGCAGCTAAAAGAATTCTGACTCTAACAATGTGACAATAGCAAAAATAAACATGACTGCTTTTGAGGTTTCTAATGGATTTTCCTCCCTAGACACATGATTTCATTTAATCCTCACAATTCAAAAAAGCACATGTCTATTAACATTAAATTAATGTTCATTATTTTGAACACATACTATGTGGACAAGCGATGGGGAAAGCCAAGGGAGCAATCAATGTGAAATCTCACTTATATGGGAGGGAAGTGGAGGTTACATATCTCAGGGCACTTAACAGATATCATCAAATGAAAGAATAAACACTATATGGGAGAGGCAGGAGGTGATTCTTCAGTTCCTGGATGAAAAATTAGGAGATAATGAACTCCTAACAATCAGCCTAATGAGAATGGCTCAAGCAACAGGGCATAGAGAGGGAGTTAGGTTAGACATGGGGTTCTTGAGAGTTTTCAGCTCTGGGTGGGTGCAGCTGTTGTCAGTGGGAAAGGGAAAAAGGAAGGGCTGAGTGTGGAAGGCAGGGAGGGAGGAGACAGTGTGAGTCAGTGAAACAGGGCCCTTAGAATGACAAGTCTGGACCAGAGAGAGGCTAAGACTGGAAATACAAGATGGGTAACCACTGGCATACAGATGGCAGTTCAGACTTGGGCACTGCCCACCAGAGCCTCAGCATGAAGAGAAGAGGGAGAGGCTGGCCACCACCTCCCTCTCAGTAATCGTAACCCTGCTCCGTGAGCTCCTGAAAACAGGCTCTTTCACTCGCCCCATCTCTTGCTCTTGATTGCAACCCGGCATTCAGGAGACACCCAGTAAATATCTGTGGAGTGACCGACAGCACAGCGCTAGGGCACTGAGAAGACCCCGGGGCACCAGGGGCTGGTTCTACAAGGGTGCCCCTCCCGGTCCCCTCCAGCACGCTGCCAGAGCCGCCAGTCTTGGCCGCTACACGGGATGCTGCCTCATTATTCAGCTCTCACCTCTTAAATTAGTTCATGCTCTCACATTAGGTGTAATCACAGCTGGCAACGCTTTCTGGGGATGTCTCAGAAAGATCTGAGTTGAAAAAATATTTTTGTGTCATATTTATTTAAAGTAAAATTGCTGCTTCCTCCTCGCCCCTTCCTTTCCTCCTGGCCCACCCAGTGACCCCGGCCGTGCTCAACGGAGGCGGCGGTCGGAGGTGAGACTTCCTCTACATAATTCCTTAAACAGCTATCAACTAAGTCTTAAAGAAAAAAAAGAGATCTAGAAGCAGAGACATGGCTGCTGGCGATCCCAAAGCTGGTGTACCCGCGTGGGGGAGAGCGTACCCTGGGGGCGGCCGGCAGGCCGGACCAGAGGCTAGCCCCGAGGCCCAAGGCAGGAGCACTCCGCCGGCGCCCCGCGTCTCTCCAGCTCCCGAGGCTGCGCTGACTCCACTGATCACGCCAGGTTCAAGGTCGCCCAGTGGGGACCAGAGCGCCGGGAGCCAGTGGTAAATGTTCCAGCCGGCCTCTGCCTGGGGTCCGGAGCCGCGTTTCTGCTTTGTACTTGACGGACAGGTCCGCCCGCCCTCCCGCCGCCCGGCTACCAGCCCGCGTTCATCCTGCAGGGCTAAATCTCCTGCACTCGGCCTGTAACACCTGGAGCGCTCCCTTCCTCTCCCCATCTTCGCAGCTCTCCTTTCTCCCTGCCACTTGGCAAAGCTGCATTTTGACTTTCACATTTTTGACTACGTGTGTGTAGTTCCAAGTCCATGCGTGGCACGAAAATCCACTTAGGGTAAAAATTATTCTCGAAAAATCGCCCATCTGGTGTTCTACACTCAAGGCTAGGAGGTGCAGGCACGGGTGCATAAAGCACGCCGTAAGGGTGCACAGTAAATAAAAAGTACAGATGCAAAATGCAAATTTTAAGTGCAAAACAGAAAAGCAGTGCTCGTTGCCGCCCCGCACGCTGGATTTTAAGGGGCACGAAGGCGGGCCTCAGCTGCTTTCGCTTAGCCCCGCGTCCTCAGCGCCTGGCCCAGTACCCGGTACTCCGTACGGGTTCAATGATCTCTCCTGAATAAGTGAACAAATTAAGAAATGAATGAATGACCTCTCGATCCGACCTCCGCGCCTGGCAGAGCAGAGCAGTCGCTGCGGGAGGCGGGAGAGAGCGAGAGGCCAAGCTCCACCGTCGCGGCCGCCTGCTGGAGCAGAGGGACGCGGAGACGCCCGGCGCCGCAAGTGCTTGCCTAGTAGCTCCCGGGTACCACGTGCGCCCACTCCAAGCCGCGCAGGCCCTGCCCCGCCGCGCGCGCACGCGCCCTGCAGCCCCGCCGCCGAGACCCTGCGCTAGACTCGCCCAGCGCGCCGGCTGCCCTCCCGCCCGCGCCCGCTGGGAGGCGCTCCCCTCCCACCCGGCGCGCCCACAGGCGGGCGGGCGACTCGCGGCCTCTAGCGATTCCACTCCCGACCCCGGCGCGCGCCTCCTCCTACCTGAGGGCCGAGCAGCGGGGGCGGGCGTGAGGGCCGAGCAGCGGGGGCGGGCGGGAGGGCCGAGGGGGTGGAACAGGATCGAGGCGGGAGGCGAGAAAGTGACCGGCCGCGGCGGACCCTCGGTGCGCGGACGCGGGCGCGCGCCCGCGCTCCCTTCGTCGACTCCCGGCCAGAGCCCAACCCTGCTGCCGCGCGCCGCCCGCCTCGCCGAGCCTAATAACAACGGCGCCCGGGGTCAGGTGGCCGCGCGCGGACAGCGCCGTCATTGGCTCGGTGGGGAGCGCGGCGCGTCAGGATTGGCTGGGGGGCGGGGCCTCGGCCGGGGCGGGGGCAGGGCCTCTGAGGGAGGCGGGCCGGGAGGCGCCGGGGGCGGGTCTAGGCCGCGGTCCGCGCCTTTGTGCCCGGCGCGCGCTCTCCGCCCGCTCCGGCTGCAGCGCTGGCTGCATCAATAATTCAGAGCGGCGGCGGCGGCGGCAGCGGCGGGTGCGGGCAGGAGGCGGCGGCAGCAGTGGGACCGAGCAGCAGCGGCTATGCATCCAAGTGCGGCTGGGCAGCCGCGGCACCCCTGAGGCCCGGGCGGGGCTCCGGGAACACAGCGCGGAGGGGACGCTCGTCCCGGAGTGCGAGGAAGAGCTGTAGTGTCCAGAGCGGCGGCGGCGGAGCTGCGCACGGAGCTGAGGAGGGGGCTTCGGAGAGGGACTGGGACGGGGGGGGCGGCTGGCGCGAGCAGCCCCGGGGGTGGGGGGCGGGGTGGGCGCCGGAGGCGCGATGCTGGGCGCCGTAGAGCTGCTGCTGCTGGGGGCTGCGTGGCTGGCGGGCCCGGCCCGCGGGCAGAATGAGACGGAGCCCATCGTGCTGGAGGGCAAGTGCCTGGTGGTGTGCGACTCCAACCCCACGTCCGACCCTACGGGCACAGCTCTGGGCATCTCTGTGCGCTCCGGCAGCGCCAAGGTGGCTTTCTCTGCCATCAGGAGCACCAACCACGAGCCGTCCGAGATGAGTAATCGCACCATGATCATCTACTTCGACCAGGTGAGAGATCCTTCCTCCCGCGGCGTGCAGATTGGGCTGGTGAGGGAGGGGTGGATGGAAGACCGATGCCCGGTCCTCTGCAAGGGCTCTGCGGAGGCGCGGGGACGACAGTCCGGGACCGATTGCTGCCCACTCCCCTTCGTTCCCGTCTCGTTATAGGTACTAGTGAACATTGGGAGCAACTTTGATTCAGAACGCAGCACTTTCATCGCCCCGCGCAAAGGGATCTACAGTTTTAACTTCCACGTGGTAAAAGTCTACAACAGACAGACCATACAGGTCAGCCGCCGCCTCGGGGCGGGCCCTGGCCCCGTAGCGGGGTTACTGGCCGCAGGGGTGCTCGGGCTGTCCGGAGGTGGTAGGCAGAAGTGGCGGCTGCATGTACTTCGGGCTGCTTGGGGGGACAGATAGCGGGGCCTCTCAGTTCTGTGGCTTCAACTGCCCTCTGCTTTCCTTGTCTCTGGCTCTTGGGATCCAGCTCCATCCCTCCGGAGACAGAATTTTCTGCTTCCACCTCCGGGCCCCTGCGAAGGGTTCCCTGGATTGCAGGGACTTCCTTGTAACTGCTGTTGTTAGCGCCCCAGACAGCTGCCGCTTGGGGAGCCTTCCCGGACTTGGATGCTTGTCTTCAGCACCACGGACAGGGCCCCCGTTTTCTCCCACTTGCCCCCATCCCCACCCCGTGCGGACTCTGGGTTTTTGAGCTAGCAGCATTTAGCCCCGGGGGGTGAGGGGTGGAGAGAGAAGGGAAGGAGGGGGCGTAGTGCTACTCTTTCCCGGCTCCAGCCGTGTCCCAGCAAGCACTCGCCGGCTCTTAGGGTCCCCAGAGGTGTCCAGATTTCCTTTGGGCGCCGAGAGAGGCGGGACGCACAGCTGGGGAGAGGGCGCGAGGCCCTTGGCTGACGGTGCCACCACAAGGGCAAAACCAGGCGGTGGCGGGCGCGGCTGGATAGGGGCTGGAATTGAGCCCGTGGTTTGGGGAGAAAATACATTGTGCCGCTCGGTGCGAGATTTCTAATCAGAAATCACAGTGGCTTCTCCACTGTGTCTTGGCAACTGGGTCCAGGAGGGATTAGGGGCTTTTTGTTTGTTCGGTTTTGTTTTTCCGGTAGCGCCGGAGGGAGCCTGAGTTGCTGCGGCTTTTTTGTTTGTTCTTTGTTTTTTGAGGCTGAGGGGAAACGGGAGAGAGGTCAAAGGTCTCAGGGCGCTAGAGCCACCTCATGGGTTTATTAAATTGGATCACAGAGCACAGTCGAGATTCCCTTGGCGCGCTCATTTGAGAAACTGGAATAAGAGCAACTCCCGTTTTGGGGACAGACCCTTCCTGTCACCCAGATGTGTGGTCTTTCGCCCCACTGGAGCCTCAGTAGTAAGCTCCAAAGCCCGTTTTCCACCATTCGCCCCCGCCCCCCGCCGCCACCACCTCTCCGTGCTTCCAGGTCTTACAGGCTGTTAGCCAAGCAGGGGGAAGGTTCGCTCCACCGCGGCTTCGGTGCCTGCCTAGGTTGCGCCTCTGAAGCGGGCCTTTCTCTTTCTCAGGTGAGCCTCATGCTAAACGGGTGGCCGGTGATTTCAGCCTTCGCTGGTGACCAGGACGTGACCCGGGAGGCCGCCAGCAACGGAGTCCTAATCCAAATGGAGAAAGGCGACCGAGCATACCTCAAGCTGGAGCGGGGAAACTTGATGGGGGGCTGGAAGTACTCGACCTTCTCCGGATTCCTCGTGTTTCCTCTCTGACTGGCTCATAGCCTGAAGGGAGGCGGGGAGAGGGCGAAGGCAGAAAGGGGAGTGAAAAAGAGGCTGAAATTAAGAGGGAGAGAAAGCAGCACGACTTGAAACTTCCTACATGTTCTCTAACTGTATCTGGGTAAAAAGGTGCGCGCCAGCGGTGGGACAACTTTGTCCATTTCCTTATTAGGAGACATAAATTTCGCTTAGCTCTGCGCACTCCCGTTTCCAAAAATAAACTCGCCTCCCCCATTCCAGTTGCAGTAATCAAGAAAGAGACGGCCTTGTCATTGTTTCTTATCCCCCAACTTCATGTTCCCTGCAATTTATTTAAAGAAACTTTGTATTTCACTACATAATCTCAAATCTTTCTCCCTAGCCCCCTCTGAATCCTTCTGCCTACTGAAATCTAATATATTCCCCGCTCCCAACCTTTTTTTTCAGTTTGGAGAGGGGGTAAGTTTTGTTGTTGTTGTTTTGTTTTGTTTTGTTTTGGATGGGGAAGGTAGTTTTAATTTGGCAAGTGTTGCTCTTCTTAAAACACTGCTCAAGTTAATTAGCTGAAGATACTTAGTGTCCTCGGCTGCTTGTTAGCAGAGAAAGGACTCACCTTAGTGGTGACTGGTTTAAAAAAATATAAATATATATCATTTGTACACGAAGAACTCTTGCCAGTGGAAACTGGCTGTGTTTCCGTATTTCTATGTCCTACTCGGAGTGATCGTGAAATCTAAGGCTGCTTGATGTTCTGATGCTTGTCAATGCCGTCGTGCTCTGCGGCTCAACGAAACGCCAAGGAGCTTCTTCGGGACGCTTCCTCTTCCTCTGTAACATACGTGTGAATAGCCAAGATTTAATTTTGCTTTAATCTAATAAAGTCGAAGCGGGACTTTTATTTTTCTGAAACAGCTTTCTAAACTCCTCATCTTCCCCAGCTGGGAGGTTGGGGGTCGGGGGTGCCAAAGAGCGAGGTTCTGAAGGGCAGGAGACTTGGGGGAACGCAACCATAGAAAGGCCTGGGCGCGAGGGCTTCCTCGCAAAGCCAGCCTTGCGCTCCTTCCTGTGCCAGGCCAGGGGCCAGCACTGCATTCGCCTGTGTTTACAGCTTTGACGCAAACGTAAGAAACGTGGCGGAAATCTTCCTTGGCCAGGCGCGGCCGCCGACCCGGGAGCGAAGTTTGATTTTTTTTCTTTGCGTTCCAAATGCATCAGGAATAGTTCCAGTTTGAGGACCCGAACCACTCTACCTGGGGCGGCAGACTCCTCACGCCTTCTGTCCCCGGATGTCTCCCACCGCGTCCGCCCTGCAGTTCCCGAAGCAGCGTATGTTTTATACACCGCCTCTGAATCCGGAGTCCACCCGCCGCATACTCGGGCGCCCAGGACCTATGATTCCGCTCATTCACAGGACTTTATTCAAGAGGTTCGTCCAGGAGTTTTAATTGTATCGGAACATAATGTGAAAGCAAAATTGAAATAAACGACTTCGTTTTAAGTCTGGAAGGCTGACCCAGTTGCTTCGGCAGCGGGGAGGTCGGGAGCCGGAGCGAGTGGGCATCCTGGGGCGAAGGGCCAGGAGCTGGGAGCTGCAGCTGGGTGGTCCCCTGCAGTTGTGGTTCCTTTCAGAGAAACTTTTTCCTGGCCCAATATTCAGTAATGAATTTTATTTCCTTTAGGGGCATGGGGAGAAGGGAGAGTTAGTAATAGCACAATAAGCAACGTTTCTCGGATTTATCCCAGCGGCTGGTTCGAGTTAGAAATTCACGGAGCACCGGGCCTCTGTTGAAACCCAGGCCCGTTTCTTCTCCGCATGCAATCCGGTAAGCCGCGGAGCAGCTATAGCGGGAGCCCTTCCAACCCAGTGGCTCCGGGACCCGCAGAGATAGATAGGGACTCGCGAGTGAGGAGTGGACCCGAGTACTTTTCTGTTTCTGCCCAACAGTTTCCCTTCTACCCTGTCAGGCCCCAGGGAAGTGGGAATGAGAAGAAATAAGGGACCTT